ATGGCACGGCACGGTCAGGGGAAGGCAGGTACCGGCAGGAGGAGGAGGAGGAGGCGGCGGAGAGGAGGGATGGCACGGCTTGGCATGGCATGGCATGGCATGGAGCGAGCTGCGGGCGGCGCCTCCTCCGCCTGAGGGAGACGGCGCGCCCCGGCTGCCCCGAGGGTCCGTCCCTCGGGAAGCGCCGCTCCGCAGGTGGTTCCAGCGCTACCTGGAGCGGGAGGAGCCGCGCCGGGGCGGCCCTGGGAGCGCCGGGGCGGGCGCGCCCTCAGCGGCTGCCGCGCGCCCTCGGCGGCGCTCGCGGCCGAGGGGCTTTTCCCGCCCCGCCGCTCGCTGAGGGGACGCGCGCGGGTCCTGCCTGCCCGCCCGCCCGCCCAGGAGCCGCGGCCCGTCCCTCCTCTCCTCCTCGGTCCCGATTGAAACAAGAATGAAGAGTTCGGGAGCGCTTTTTGCGGGGTGAAGCCTTCCCTCCCCTGCCCCGGGCCGGCGGCGGCGGCGGCCGCCCTTCCCGCCCTGCGGTGCCTGAGGCGGGCCGGGGCGGGGGTCGCTGCGCGGGAGCGGGTCGGCGCTCCCTGAGGGGACGGGAGGGGCGGCCGGCCCGGGGCTCTGAGGTAGCCCTGGCCAGCGGCTCTCCCGAGGGAAGCCGAGGCGGCAGTCGCCACCGTGCGACTCGTTGTCTCCTCCTCTACACGAGGCCGCACCGCCGAGGGCCTCCCGGGGTCCAAGTGGGAGGAAAGATCCCTCAGCCGATCAGTCCCGGGAAGCGAGTGCTGGCTCAGACTCCATCAGGGACCCTGTTACCCGCACTGCAGATGTTCGTCCCAGCTTCCAGGGGATTGCTGGGGTTTGTCTGCCCACGCATCCTTTCAGGAACAGGGTCCAGAGCCACACAGCCAGGTGGTGGTCACCTGGGGGACTCCCTGCCACAGGGCACTGAGAAGCCCAACAGTTTGCAGAGAAAGCATTTAGACTTGTTCCCAGAGGAAGAGCCACACATCAAAGGGCATTGAGCAAAAAAAGCAAAACCCCCAAAACCCCACCCCTAACTTTGTCTCTGGTTTGGGAAGTCCCTGGGCTGCTGGTCTAGAAGTTGGGTGACTGTGCTGGGAACTTGCTGCATCACTGTCCCTTTCTTCCTGAGGCACTGGAGACAGGAACCTGGCCTACATGACGTTTGGTCTGACCCAGAACAGCTATTCTTGTGTCCTGATGTCCTATTCTACCCTGATCTAGCGCAGTAGATGTGTGAATGTCTGTTTTATACACCAGTGTCAGTGGCACAGAGGAAAACAAGATTTCTGACCTAATTTTATATCCTTTGTTTTCATTTCCTATGGCAAAAGCAAAGCGCGTGCCTGTTCTTGGCTATGGTGTCCCATTCTGGAGTGCCTCAGGCTGGGAAGCTGGTGGTATTTGTGCCCCTCACTTCAGAGCTGTGCTCAGACCTCCATCCAACTCTTGCAGATCACTTCCCATTTGAGTTCACAAATCACATCCCAGCAATTTTGGCATTACCCGTGAGGTGTGTGGTTGCCGAATACTCCTTCCAGCCTCATTCAGCCCCCAAGTTCCAGCAGTATTGGTTGTTTCTTTTTGGAGTAATTAACTTTTCTTAGGCTGGTAAACCTTCATTGTGTTTTATCCACAGCATGGCTGCAGTTTGGTGATACAAGAACCAGTGCCTCTCTTCTTTTTTTTTTTTTTTCCAGTGGGTATTGGTTTAGCTTCCACAGCCTGTTTAGATGTTACTCATTCCCAAGTGCCACACATCTCCTCCTCTGGGCCTTTAAATACCCTGCTGCTTGCTGCTACGCTCTGTACCTTTAGGGCAGGTCTGGAGTTGACCTTTCTGTAACAGGTTACTCCACCTGTTTGACTCCAGTGCTTAGGAAATCCAGAGTTCTGGTTCCCACAGTGCTTGTGACTCAGCAGTGTAGCTGCCCTCAAACACAATTACTCGTCCAACAACTTAAAATGCTTTGCAAGCATTAATGAATTAAGCCTCCCAATGTCTTGAGATGGGGAGTATTACTGATAGGTAAAGCAAGGCAGAGCATGAGTCACGTGGCAGAGGCACATTGCAAACCCTCTCCCTCGCAAAAGAAATTTTGACCTCATGGAAGTCAGCAGTGAAATCACCTTATTTAGTCCCGAATTTTACCCTTGAAGTCCCATCTCTTGCTTTTCTCCACCGGGCTCTCAAGGGCAGATCTTTAACCCCTGCACGGCAGCACTGAAAAATAGCTGAGCGTGGTGCCTGCAGCCCGGGCATCTTTTTAAGGTACTAATTTCATTACACATGCAGCAACATACGAATTGCTTCGTGGGCACAGGGGGCCTGAACTGAGCTGCTTCGAGTAGCCAGAGACTGGTGCACATAAAGTTCCTGCTTGCACATCCCACAAGTGTGGAGCCGACGTGTCTTCCTTTGCGGCCGGTGAAGAACTTTTCGACGTCTGGCACTCGGCTTCTTACATTGCGTAAAGTTACTTCCTGCTAACCTTCCTATTCCGACATAATTAGATCACATCCACATTAGAAGCCGTTGTGGACATTTAGTTGTGCCAAAGTCCAGAATTGCAGGCACTGCTTTGCTTTGGGCCTGAATCAGTTCCTTAATTTAGAGCTGTTCATTGAAGCCACTGGGAGATTGCCCAGGACTTTGGTGGGACGGGGATCACAGCCTTCAGAGGGAGTGCCTGGCTTACGAGGGTCAGGTGTCGTGAAGTCAATTCTTTGTGTTAGGAAAGTTGTAATTTCCTTTTAAAGCTCAGTGAGTCATTGAGTCGTGGCTGTGAACAATCCCACAGGATTTCCTTAGATTTGTGATACCTGAAGGTAAGCTTGGAATGGCGCCCCTGGAAAAATTCTTCGTTCAGGGACCTGATCCATCTCATTTTGAAGTCAGTGGCTAAACTTTTGTTTACTACTGTAATGCAGATCAAGACAGTTGCATAATCGTGGGGGCCTGATCCTGCATCAGGCTCCAGTAAAACAGTCAAAGGGCTACCAGGAAAGAATCTGTTGACACATGGAATAGGTAGTCATAAAGAATTCATAAGGCTCGACGACCTCATTTCACAGCAAAGAAGATACAGAAGCCCTTTGTTTCTGTAGATTTTTATAAAAGTAGTTTTGCTCCTCGAAATTACCCATTAAAATTAATTTGCTGTAGCTTTAGGTATAATTCTGACCACACTGAGTGAAAGAATGAAAATTTCATCCACTTGGATAATCCTTTATCTGGGAGTTAAGCTTCCCTGTTGCAAGGAGAAGGACATATCGCTGCAGTCAATCACGGATGAGTGAGCTTTTAGATAAGGCCTTTCCTATAATACACCCACAACACTTCATTTTCCTCTTGCAGCACTGGGACTGACCTCCCCACTTGGATGAGTGTCGTGGAGGCAGAGATAGGGACCGTGCCGTGCTGCTTGGCTGACACGCATTTCGGAGCAACACATTCCAGCAGATGAACCCATTTGCACAGTTGAGTGATCTAAACTTAGAAAGCTAATTTCTCTAATTACAAAGTGAGACTGAACTCCTGTAAAGCTTTTCATCACCTGAGTGGAATGGGAATTGCGCTTCCATAATCATTTAATGTTTAGAAACTAATTAGGAAGCATTTGGTGGGGAGGCCACACCCCACGTTAGGCTGTTTCACAAATGGATCAGGAGGGAAAACTACCTCTGCTGAGAAAGTTGAGCAAGTGGCAGAGGTGAGGAGAAAGAGCACAGTTTAGCCAGTGCTACTTCCATAAAAGCTTCCATTTCTTCCAAGTCAGGCAATTTCTTAAAGCTGTATCTCCAGGCAAGCATTTCAAATGTGACAAAAGATTTTGGAGAAGATGTTTTAGTGACCAGATACCCAAATCCAGTTTGCTGCTATAAGCACTTCCCTCTTTCCCTGGAGTGTGTTGCTTGAACTAAAATTTCATAGCTGTGTTGTGTTTATTGTGCATGTGTGTTTTATCACTTAGGAATTCCCACCTTAGTTTTTCTGTACATTAGCTCCCAGGAATTAAAGTGAGGCACTAAATCTCTTTGAGAAGATACTCTGAGAACAATAACAAATAAAGACTCTGGGGTACTCAGAAATTACTACAGTCAGAACCAGTAAAGTCCCTGAAAGAGTTAAAGTTGTAGAGCCAAAAAATACATCTATTGTAGAGCTTTTAAGTTCTATCCAGCTGTAATTAAGTGAATCCATAACACTATTGCTTTCTGTCACAGCTTAAAATTGAGCCAGAAAATAGTGCTGTTTCTCCTTCAGTTTCCTTTATTTGTATGCACATAAAACCTGCTTTCTGCTTGTTTCTCTGTTAACCCTTCAAGGATTGGATACCTCCACATTAACCTGGCTTTGTCCTTCACTTATCCTCCCCAGTGGTGGGATTCCTGTGCACCAGTGATTTGATCTCAAATCCCTGCTTTCTAAAAACAGGGGAGAGCTGAGACTGCAGTTTAAGGTCTGAGCAGGGGTACAGCTTATCAAACTGGAGTAGCTTCCAGTAGGTGCAAAGACTGTGACACTGAGCAGTGCTGGCACTTCTGTCACAGACAAGATGACACTTTCCTTTGATAAGCAGCAACCTCAGCTATTCCTGTCAGTCCTGGAAGAAGCTGCAGTGAAACCTGGGCTGAGCCCTGTCTCCAGTGAACAATGGGTGCTTGCAACAGAGGTCCAAGTTTCCAGCAGGGTTTCCCTCACAGCTTTCTGCAAAGGTGCTTCTTTGAGTCATTTTTTTTTCAGTAAGTGCTCAGACCAAGTTTCATTTTCTTGTTATGGCAGCATCAAAATGCCTGAAGTCTTCTTTTCATGCAGATTGTTTTCTCGTCATTGTTAATTGCATATAAGAGCATGTGTTCAATACATTCCCAATCACAAACTATCCTGAGGGTGCAAGGCTGAAGTACACAGGGGTGTCATTTAGCTAAGGAAATGACTAAAATGAACAGAGCAGTGATTAGCACATTTAAATTTGAGTGTACAGTATATAACTTCTTGCCTTTGCCTGCCATTATTCCATGGCTGATCTAATATTCTGGGCCTTGATTTTACTTGTTCCTCTGGGGGAGATATAGAGGGAGTTGCTTCGTTTGGCCTGAAGAAACATTTGGAGACATTAAAGATGCTAAAATCCAGATTCAGCCCAAAATATAAATGTGCCTAAATCAAGGAACAAAAAACTTTCAGTTAGGGACGTGTATCAACATCCATAGCTAATCACTTGAGACTCTCCAAGTCCCACTCTGGAGGTAGCTGTGGAAAAAGTGCCTGCAGCTTCTAGCAGGGCAGTGGAAACAAGGGTAAATGAGAAGGAATGCAATAGGAATAGGCTTGGGGCGCCATGGAGAGGTGGCCTTACTCCTGGGGGTATGAGCAAGACACCCTGTCACCCTGCCTCTCTGGTTAAAGGTTTGCCTTTGCTCTTTCCACAGTACCTGCAGGGTGTTACATTCCTGCCTCCCTGACAGCTGTTTTGTCTCACAGCATTTTCAAATGCACTGGAGATGATTTTCTCTTGGATTGCTCCTGATGTCAAGCTGTGAGTCATGGACCACTCCACGAGTGGTGAAGGACATCCCCGATCTGTGGCACTGTGGCAGCTTGGTGAAGACCCAAAAGAAAAAGAGCCTGGCTGTAGAACTGAACCCTTAAAACCAACTAATTTCTTTGAAGGTAATGGCATTACCCAGTGTGCATCAGCTTTATGTCTGAAAGCAGCAATAGTTTCTCGCAGATCCGCAATCTGTGTGTTGCCCTGAATTGTTGGGGGGAGTATATATATATTTAATGATGATTTTTATTTACTGTGGCAGAGGAGAACGAATCAGGATCTGTCACAACTTGAACAGAAGCAATTCCACACCTGTCCCTTTAACTGCACATTTGTGGCTGGCTGCCTTTTATTGTCCTGCCTCCTCTGGGGCTGTGTGTGTTTGTGTGTGTTTGTGTATGTGTATGTGTGTGTAAGGATTTCCCAGCCTGGCGGATGACCCCTCATCTTGCTGCTCCAAGCAGTGGCTTTCCTCCCCTCCTTTCTTTGCAATATTTATTGGAAGCACGTGCTAAGGAATCTGTGAGCCTGGGATGCTAATGAGTGCATGGCACAGAGCAGAGCAGGGCAGCAGATGCAAAGGGCCAGGCACGTTTCCTAATGAGGGAGTCTCGAGACCCATCTGTTGAGTCTCGTGGGCCCTCAATGAAGTTTGCTGCACAAGGTTGCCAGTGGAGGGGTTTTTTCTTCCCCCCTAATGCTTTTAGTTCTCAACAAGTGCAATCCTGTATAGAGCAGCATGTCATGGGGTTAGGTTTTGTTGTTACTAGCAGATAATGTGACTTTGAAAAGAACGCCCCTGCCCCAGCTGAAAGGAGGATAACCCTCCTCTACCCCCTTCCTTCCCATCCTTCTTGCTCGGATCAATAACAGGTCCCCAGGCACAAAGCCTGCATTCTTTTATTCTCAAATTAGAGCAGCTGCAGCAGCAACACCACAGCTCATTGGAAACCTATTAGCTTTTGAAAGACTTAATCCAGTTTGAAAATAACTAGTGTTTCTCAATCCTTCACGCACCCATTCCTGTAAGAGGCAATAATCTTAGGATGCATTGAGAGTGGACTGGGCTTATTATTATAACCTGCATCTCTCTCGGTGTCCCAAAGGGGCAACAAAGAAGGCAAAATGTCATTTTCCCAGCTTCACAGGGCCTAAGAACATTGGATTTACTCTGCCATATCACACCCTATCACTGAGGTCTGCCACCTCCCATCCTGCCTTCAATGGTGACTGGAATTGTGGGATTCACTCTCCAATTTCATAGTTTTTAAGGCCAGAAGGGACTATTATGATAATATATTTGACCTCCTGCAAAACACAGACATTAGAATTTCATCCTAGGTGGGATAAAAGCTGGGAGCAGCTGCATTCTTTGATGCTGCTCTGCTGGGCAGCAGTGGAAATGTGGGGGATTTTGGGGGGTACTTTTTCTATAAGGGGAATTTGTTCTTTTTAAGCACGTGAAGCACAGAGCTGTGCAAATGGGAGCCTTGTGCATACTCAGCAAATGCCTTGCTTTGGACTTAGGAGACCTGATTTTAGGTAGAAAGGGTTTTCTCCCGTGTCTGTGTTTCTTGTTTAGCTTTTCTGTCACCCCTTTACTGAGGCTCTCCCTGCAGCAGCCCTGTGAGCTAATTACTCCCGTTTTAAAGGTGAGAGTCTGAACTTCAGCAATTGCTCTGCCCTTCAGAGACTTTTAGGTCATAAATGCCTCGTGAAGACCACAGCAATGGGGAAGTAAAGTTTTCATGAACAGGATCCTGTCTCCTGCCCCAAGTCACACTGGAAATCTGCAGATGATCGGGGAGCTTGTTTTCTCATTTTTCTTTGAGTCCTAGCTTACTGTGTTTGCTGGGACATCTTTCTCTGCTCAGACTTTTCCTGTGCTGTGCCAGTCCTAAACCTTTCCTTCATGTGCTGCCAACTGCTGTTAGTTTTGGTACAAATATTTTGCCAGAGGTAAGTGGGGTGGGACCACCAGCTGACTTCCCAAAGGCCACTGAACAGCAACAGCTTTTGATTTCTGCTGACCTGGACCAGATTCAGTGTGGTGACCTAGAGCTAAGGGGCTCAGGATCTCATTACTAATCCCTTGAGCTAGCCAATTCCTTCCACCAAGTCAATGTTTTCTAAAGTGTTAAAAGACTTTTCCTGCCTGCCTGCCCATTAAATCCTGCTCTCCTGTCCGTGTCCTTGGATCAGCCTAATCACTGAAGTGGATCAGTTTGAAGTCTTAAGGGTGCAAGCTGTGGGCCTGGCAGTGCAGAAGATGGCAGGCAGCACAGCTGAAGCAGCCACTGCTTTGGGGTGACCCTCATGTGCTGCTTTTGTAGTGCATTGCCAGCTGGGACATGGGGTGTTTTCCTACTTTTAGCTAATTTATGTGATGTTTACAGTTTATATATGTTTCTAGATACTTTAAGTATAGAAAAAAAGAAACCAAGTGTTTTCCTGGATCATCCATTGGCATTGCTTTTTGGATGCCTCAAGTAATAATTCTCTTCTGGGTTATTTTAATCTTCTCACTTCCTCAGATGGTTCACAGAAAGAAACACATAGAGCACCATCACTGTGTTCTAATGTATCTTTACTATTAAAACCTTATATTTTAAAGATAGAGAGAAATGTGTTTCAAGAGAGCGTGTGGAGAAAACCACTATGTTTTACATTAAAATCTGCACTGGCCTCATCCACATGCACTTAGCAGGAAACAGCTTCCATTTGCTTTATTTTAGATTGAATACAGAGTAGTTTACAAGTTCTATATATGTAAAAGACATATATTTTACATATATATATATGTGTATATATATATATATGCAAATATGAAGGAGCTTCCAGCAAAGCTTCTTCATAATTAATATCTGCTTACAAGGGTGGGTATATACATAGCACATACACATACATTTGCTACATGTATTTGCTTTTTCCCCCCTTACATACATATATATTTATATGCAAAAGGGAAGTTATTCTCAGATGTTTCAGCTACTCATCCTTGATAAATGTTTTCTTAATATCTGCTTGGATAAAATGGCCATAGCTGTGTTTTTGTGAGGAATGTTTTTCTCCTTGCAAAGTAGGAACACTTTCCCCCACTGCTTGTGCAGCTCTGCATGTGGCAGTGCCTGTGTGTGCACATGCACTCAAATACTAATTTTTTCTAAAAACAAAAATTAATCATAGAGAGCACATCTGCCTTTGACTGCATTTGATAGGCCAGGCTGCAGATGAGGAGAGCATGAATCTCCAGGTTCTGCCCTCTTATAAATGCAGTTGAGTATCTGTTGAGCGACACTAAGCACATTTGCCCTTACTTTTGGTCAGTGGATGAGGATGCTCTAATTCTAGGCTGTCTCTTTAAGAATCTTCTCACAACAGGTAATTAGCCTCCAGAATCATGGGTTACTTCTTTCCAGTACTGGTGATGTCAGTTCATGCTCTGTTACCATTTGAAACTAAGTTCTTAATGTGGAACTTGACATGAAGGCCCGTGTCTGGTAAAGACACAGGAGCAAAATCTCACAGTGTCCTTCCTCTTGCCAGTGCTTTGTTTATCTGAATTGTTTCCCAAGTTAACTCCTGTGGCCTAACCCCATAGAAGAGAAGATCTAATCTCTAATTTTCCTCTGGGACCATTCCTGCAAGGTCCTTGAAGAATATATCCTGTTTCCCAGTCAAAGAGTCAATCCAAGGATGTGTCCCGTCTTCTCTTCTCATTTGAAGATTGTTTACCTGTTATTTATGAACTGTGTTTTGTCTATGGACTATTCCTACTGTGGGGGCATTGTGATGCTTCTTAGAGAAGGAGGAAGGATTAAAATGGCTCAGACTTTATGTTCAACATCACATATTCCTTGCAGAAGGATTTACAGTCATATACACAAACACACCAAAACCCAGCCAGCCCTTGGAGGATGCAGGAATTCTGCCATGAAGATAGATTGAGTCTGTAATAAAGAAATACTGAGAGAATTCTTAATTACGTGCTCTGATGATGTTTTAGAGCAGCATGGTACATGTTGTTGGGTATCAGACGTAGAGTAAAATATCAACCATTTCAGGATGGTGCTAAAATCAAAGCAATTCAAGGATCAAATTATGCCTGAGTGTCAATATTCCAACTCAGATGTAGCAAACTGAATGCTCTCGTTTATGCCAGCTAGAATTACAGTTTGGGCATTTTATTAAAGCGTGAAGAGGTCACTTATTGATCAAAGAGGGTTTTCCTGAAAGGAAGGCAACCAGTGCTGAAGAGCTGAAAGCACTGAGCTGTGTTCATTTGGATTAAAAATAGGTGTTTTGGGCCAGCAGAGCTTCAAAATAAGCAAATTCTCAAACCAAACAGTTTTCCTTTTGGTAGCCGAAAAGGAAACCGCACATCCAGGAGGAATGTAGATCAAAGCAAACTCTGCAAATGATGCAGAAACACATAAAATAACAAACAAGGCTGGTGGGAAGAGGGGAGCTTTTGTAAGTAGATAGGTCTGTTCATGTTACACTGAAACCAAAGGCAAGATTGCTAAAGAAGATACTGGAGAGGGGTATATAAGGCTTTACATTTTTCTCCTCAGAGGAATTTTTCCAGCCTGTTTTTGCATCTCCATTGTATTTGCTAGGTAACATATAAGGGGCATACTCAGCACCAGATCTCACTGATACCAACTTTTGCCTCTTATCTCTTACTTTCCTTCTCTCCCTAGTTTCCCTGAGCCTCCCTCTGCCTAAGTTGCAGAAAAACATGTTTGTTTTACTGCTTGCCCATAATGCTGTTAAAGCACATCATCCAGTCATTTTCCATAACTAAACTTTCAGTATTTAGGTAGTTTAACTTTCATACTTTGTTCGTACTTGTAGAACAAAACAATTCAGAATGTTTATAGTATTAGCTGGTTAAATTGGAATTCATTTGTTTAATGTGTTGTGTATGAGAATACAAATCTACCTCAGAACTGTTTTTAAGGGAAAATATAATACTGCTAGATATTTTTAAACTTGTTGCTTTACTTATATTGAAGTGAATATGTTGCTGCAATGATCAATTGTAAATATTGAATTGAGAAGGATTTGGTAATTGTTGCAGTGAAGTCACTCTTTAGCTTAATGACTTGTCCAGTCCTTT